CTTGACTGGTCCAGATGCTTGCCTCTAGCAAGGTCAACTCTCAGCCTCCTGTTGCTTGTTTGTGGTAGTGGGTGCCTGTCTTGTCCACCAACAGGCCTGGCTTTCTGATTCATTACCTGACCTTGGTTCTGGGAAATGCACCTTCTGAACTCTTACACTGTGTGTCTTTAGTCTGTTGAAACACTATATTGTTTTCACTTTTGGCCATAGCATGTCTTCTTTCTACCTACACCTTCAAAATTCATTTGGACCCCTGAATAACTTTTTTTTTTCTGCCCTTTGGTTTTAAATCCACAGATGCCTAACTAAACATTTTCTTTTTCTTTTGAGGCAGAGTCTCGCTCTGTCCCCAAGGCTGGAGTGCAATGGTGTGATCTGAGCTCACTGCAACCTCCACCTCCCTGATTCAAGTGATTTTCCCGCCTCAACCACCTGAGTAGCTGGGACTACAGGCATGCACCACCATGCCCAGGTAATTTTTGTATTTTTAGTAGAGACAGGGTTTCACCATGTTGACCAGGCTGGTCTTGAACTCTTGACCTCAGGTAATCCGCCTGCCTCAGCCTCCCAAAGTGCTAGGATTACAGGCATGAGTCACTGTACTCAGCCTGAACATTTTATTTTAGACCTCTACTTTGTTAAGATCTAGTCCTTCTGTGTCTTGTAATTTCCTTATGGCTATGACTTCACAGCCTTGTCTCAACCCTCTTTGTCCTGCTGTCTTTTCTTTTCTCTGTTTAGTAGGGGGAAAACAATCCTCTACCCTTTTAGGTTCAGTGACTGGGACCCACAAATCAAATTAATAAATAGCAGATTAACAGAAGAAGAAAACAGATTTAATTGAGTGGATATGCACAGAAGTTCATAAAGAAATGTGAAAGAAGGAGGTTAGAATTTGGAACTTATATACTATCTTAACAAAGGGTAATCAAGTGTGGAGAAAAAGCTGGACAAGGGAAAAGGAGTTTGGGCTCCTGTGGTGGGGGTAAGCTGTGGGAAGATGATTAGAAAATGTATGGTAATTAAAAGCTGTGTAATGAGGTCTGTTATGCAGATAAGTCATCTCAGGTAATAAGTGCTGCCTCTAGAACAGTTATCTTTCTGGTACAACACAGGGAGGCACCCTTACAAATGGAAATTTATGTTACCTTTAAAAACAAAAAATTTATGTTGTTTTTAGGCAGTTAAGGGGAGGGAAAATAACTTTTCCTATGTCTTCTTCTTCTCACTTGCCTTCAGGTCAAAATAATTCTCTTGCCAAGTTGGTATATTTGAGATGGCATGTTCTGATTCTCTTCAGTATCCTACTACAATTGAGATGCATAAAAATAATTATTTTCATATTTATTATTCATGATGTACTTTTCGTACCTAAAATGACTTTGAGAGGTAGGGATTTTGTTTTGCCTTGTAACATTTTACAAACTGAAGCACAGATTTACTGTTTTGCTGAAGGCCACAGACACTGGATTTGAACCCAAATCTATCCTGCTTCAGCTTAAGTTCTTCCCACCCAGTTACTAACTTTCTGATCCAACATCACTGCTTGGCATGTTCATTTATTGATGGTGTTCATTTCTCCAGTAAACACTGGAAAAGAAAAGTAGCTAAACATTATAAATATTCTAAACAATATATTGAAGTCTTAATTTTTAAATTTTATCAGCTCTACAGATTCCATTCTCAAAATAAAAAAAAACATAAAAAGAATGAAAGCACTGAGTTTTAGAGTGATGATAAATCCACATGGTAAATTTAATGAGAGAGAAGTAGCTTCTCAGCACAGCAATAAAGTGGCTTGTTAGAAACAACAGTAGACTAAGAGGCAGAAGAACTGGGTCAGTTTAAGGCCTGGCCCAGAATCTTGACTTTTGGTAAATTACTTCGCTCCTTTCTTCTTAAATCTTGAAAATTGCCCACTAACTTTAGGTCTGAATTTCCTGGCAGCCAAAGTATACTCATGGTTTCTTGCTCCAGATGAGTGGTCACTTGTCAAACTACTTGAAGTTGCTTTCTCTCAGTTTCTGGGTCACAAACATTTCGTTTCTCAGTAATCTACCTCACGTATTAGGTGTTGGGGGCACTTTTACTATTCTAAACCACTGGTGTTTCCTGAATAGGGATCACTCAGGACATTTTCACATTCAGAAAAGGCCCCATCTTCTTCATCATTTGTCAGAGCCTCTGCTGCTGTGACAAGCCAAGTATACCCTCCTGTGGCCTTCTCTGGGCCTCTCCTGTCTCCCCAGATTGGCTAAGATACCAATGACTTGAAAGAGAAGCCAAAGGAAAAGGAGAGACACCAAGATGAGACCTGAGTCTGGGTCTCCTGCTAAACTGAGAGGAATAGTGTAGGAGAACGGAATTTTGAATCTTGAGCCCCCTAGGTCTTTGCTATTCACTGTGTGGTCCAGGCACCACAGTAACATCACTTGGGAGCTGGTGATAAGTGCTGAATCTAAGGCCCCACCCCACATGTGCTGAATCAGAATCTCCATTTCTACAAGATTCTCAGGGAAATTGTATACACATTAAAGTTAAAACAAAAAAAGCATCATTGATTCATGAATCCATAGCAACTTTCAAAATTAGCTCTGAGTGGCAAGAAATATTTAATAGAGCTCCCGTGGAGGGGCATGGGAAAGTTGCTGCCATTGCTGGCAAGGACTTGACTCAGGAAGGAGGGAGCCTGGATCTAATTGCAGTAGACAAATTGACTCAGCTAAAAGCCAGGCATTCAGGAGGGCAAAGTGGAGTGATGTGGGCTTCTGAGGTGAGGCCATTAACAGTTGGATTATAATGCAACGTGCCATAATGGCATAGTAATGAAATGTAATTGATATGGTTCTGTTATTAAAAGGAACACTTTCTTTGTTCAAGGCTTTCTTCCTTCTTAGAAGGCAGATGGTCACAGGGTGAGGTAATGAGACAAAAGGAACTCATTCTGTAAAAAGTCTTAGTTTATTCTTTGGCCTGCTTTTGGTCCATTTTCAGGTGAGAACCTCCCTTATGCTGGCAACTTTGCCAGGTGAGTGTTCTCCAGCCACGAACTTCATACTTTAAAATTAGCTGGATACTTACAGGAGGGAGTGGTAATATTAAGCCAGGTGTCCAAGGGGTCCAGGTGACATAATGGTCCCCAGTCTCATCTCTGAAAGGTCTTGGGGAGTGAGCTGCAGCCTGGGGATGACACTCCTGGTGTCAGAGCTGCCTCAACTTTGGAAATTTCTTTGATGGAACCAGCAGGATGGGGCTTCAGCAAGAAGCTGCTTCTCCATTGCTAAGCTCAGTGCCCATGCCACAGCAACATGACTACATCCTCCTCCCTGATCACTGGTTTGCTATTTCTTACTTGATTTCTATTGATTGTTTTACTTTCTTGTGTGCTCAAAACTTTTTTCTTGGCCGGGCACAGTGACTCACACCTGTAATCCCAGCACTTTGGGAGACCAAGGCAGGCAGATCACCTGAGATCAGGAGTCCAAGACCAGCCTGGCCAACACAGCCAAACCCCGTCTCTACTAAAAATACAAAAATTAGCCAGGTGTGATGGTGCGCGCTTGTAGTCCCAGCTACTTGGGAGGCTGAGGCAGAATTGCTTGAACAAGTTTTTTTTTTTTCTTTATTAGCTCTTCACCAGTTTCTTTCTCACCAGTACTTTTCACCTGCCTTCAGAAAAATAAAGTAAAAATTTGAAATGGCACTTACTGTGGAAAAATTGTTGTATCTTTGTCATTGATCTCATGATAATTTTGAGAAAGAAAACTCTCAAGGCTCCCTACAGTATGACACGTATACTAAATGTAAAGCTAAACAAAGCAATGAAAACTCTCCTAAAAGAAAGGTGATGGGAGGACGAGATAATTGTGATAAAAGTTAAGATTGACCTAAAGGTGTGACCAAATTGCACAGTAAGTTTAATGCTGGATTTCTGGCAGCCAAAGGTGTGCCTATGCTTACTTATTCCAGCTGAGCGGGCACTAGATAAACTTCTCGAAGATACTTTTACTTGATACTGAGATTACCATCATCAGTAATATTTTTGAGTGCATGAAATTTACTAGGCCTAGGCACTTGCTATCACCTTTGCATGCATTATCTTATCTAATTTTCACACTATCATTAAGAGATAGGATAGAGTAGTACCTCTAAGTGTGAACTCCAGAGTCGGGGAGCCCTAGGTTGGATCTTCGGCTACTCACAGGCTGTGTGACCTTGGGCTGGTCCCTTACCCTCTCTCATCCATAAAACAGAAATATCAGTCATACCTTAAAATGGCTGGGGACATTAAATGATTTAATATACACAAAGCATGCAGTGTCTGGCTCTTAGTAAGTACTTGCCATTATTATCATTATTTCTATTTGACAGATAAGGAAATTGGGTCCTAGAGAGGTTAAGTGGCTGGCCCAAAGTCCCACAGCCATATCAAATTGGCACCAGATCTAATTTGACCCCTCTTAACCACTTCACATGTTGACTCAGAAGCTTTGGACTGCTTGGCAACCTATTGGGTGCAAATAAGAAATTCCTCAGTATTCGCCTTGAGCAGTTAATGTTCCATTATCTTTGGTGAGAGTTTCTCATCTACGGATTATCTTCAGGGAACTTCTTCCAGCTGTTTGGCTTGGTGAGTCCACTGGGACAGTATCTATTTTCAATGTGACTTTAAGTAAAGTTTAAATAATGTGGGAGTTGCATTAAATGTTATAGTGTATGTTTGTTTATCTATGGATTCTATTTATTTATGTTTATTCTGAGCCACCCATCTCTTCCCAAACACAATTGAAAATAGCAGAAATTTAAGTTAATTGCTTCTACATTTAAAGTCCACTTCACTATCACTTCACCTAGAAAGATGCTTGCCGTCTAGTTTTCCATGATCTCAGAATACACAGGTCTCCCTAGACGTGGTTGGTGATGTTGAGGGCCAATGTGGCTGTAATTCCCCCACTGCCCACCAGGTGTCCCACCGGTCCCTGCTATCTGACAGGCAGCAGGAAAAATGGCCATTTTCACCCATCCAAAGGGACCAAGGAGATGAAGGAGGATGGTGGAGAGATTGTGGGGAGGAGGTAGGGAGGATATGATAAGACTCCCAGATGCTGTTTCTTGTCTCCAGACAAAGAGAATTTTTCACATTAGTTTTCTTTGATGTGTAGGTGTCTCTCCAGAAAGCCCAGCCAGTTCCCTGCAATTTAGGAAGCTTTTATTTCCACTAATGAACTGGTGTCTGGCCAGGGCTTTTCATCTCCCAGCTTGAGGCTGGGGCTGCTGTCTGCCTCCTGTTCCTTTTGCCTGAGATACCCTGACAGCCTCCCTTCCCTCCTCAGCCTCTTCTTTTTCTTCCAGGTGCTGATTGAAAAAGAGACAAGAAAGAGACTGCCCCTTCTGCCTTGTAAGTTGGCTCAAATATCCCCTGAATCAAGGGAGTACCAGTGTGTAACTGTGGCACCAACTAGCCCTCTTGCCCACATTAACCTTATTTGTCCAGATTATTAGTGGTACTATGGTAGAAATATTTCCTCTTTGCTCTTAGGTAAGACTGTCATTTGCTTCTCTTGCAGAGGGGAGTAAGGGAATTTGGAACCACTGACAAAAATTTGGTAACTGGGGCATTTTAAATTTCAGAGTAAATCTCTCTTCCTTTGCAGGTCGTTGGCTCCTTGCCTGTCATCGGTACGGCCTTTTTTTCCTCCCTCTTTTCTTTTGGAGGATCACATACAAGTTGGGGAGGCTGCTCTGAAGCCACATGATCTCTCAGATATTGTCAGCTGTACTGGGACTCTCTGGAGTCCCTTGTCCATCACCATAGGTCACCCCAGCAGAACCTGGGCATCTACCATAGACCTGAGGTGTCCAAATCGGGACAGTGCTCCAAGTGGTCTGCAAACTGGTGCCCTGATTATAGGTTATTCTGTGATTGAAGCTTCACCCAGAGATGGGCTGAGAATGTGAATGGGATGTCTGCATTTAGCATCAGTTTTTGGAGCTTTGATGTGGGCTATTTCCTCCTGAAGGGCCTTGATAACAAAGACCAGAACACAGTCCTGTGGGAGTTTCTAGCTTCTGTACCCACTGCCTCATTATATGCATGGCTTTTAATATTCGGAGAGCCTTTGCCAATACACATTTTCTCGTGTACTGAGAAACTGGAGCCCGGATGTGATGTATTATTGATAGGATTGTAATTTACTCCTCTTGTGTTGTATCTACAGTGTATACCATTAGCACAAAATATTAAATTACCAGGGTTTGTATATATTTGTTTATTCAGGTTTGGCTCAATGATATTTGTCTTTTGCCTCAATAAAAGATCGTGAATAATGAAAGCAGGGTAATATTATTTTGTTGTTGTTGTTGTTGCAAGGGAATTTTGATGAAACCATTTTCTCTGTGTTGTGTTTTTGGCAAGCCATGCTTTGCAATGAAGACATGAGACATAAAAGAGTGGGGGTTGGACACAGAAGATGGATGAGCAGCTCGCTCCAGCTCTCGGCACACACTGGCTTCCCTGGCAAGCTGCTCCAGGCCAGGCTTTGGGCTTTATTTTTCTGCAAGAGGGAATACGCAATCTGTGCTGCATTGGTGGGAAGAAGTGGGCAGTTCAGACCTCGGTGCTACAAACACCAAGCCCTGTGCCTCTCTTGTGAAGATAGCATTTGCATGGGACTTTGGGGGGACCCAGCAGCACATCAGCATTGTGAACCTTTTGTAGTCACAGCATTGTGCCCTGGCTAGTGTTTGATAATCTATCCTCTGGTCACCATTGTTGGCCATTTTGGTTCCCGCCTCCACCCGGGCCAGGTGGCACATAAATACACAAGCACTTATCTCCTTTAAAAAGATGCCAGGTCATAGAACTCAAACCAAGCTGCAAATAAAAATGCCATGTAGTGTCTGTCGTGTGCTTCTTGTTCTGATCTTTGGGCTTGCTTCAGATCCTTGAATGTGAGGTGTTTGCTAGTTAACTAGGAGTCTGCTGGACAAACAGCACCCCACAGTTGGATTTGCTATGTAATTTTTATGAGTAAACATGTTTTTAAAAAACGCCTGTGGCTTGGCTTCTTCATCCTTTGTTGCGTGTGGGTCTTGGAATGAAGGGGTGGGGGTAACAGAAACTAGGTTTTAAATCTGTATTAACTTGACACAGAAAAATATTTTCAAGAAAGGTTTATTCCTTTTAGTTCCTGCTGGCAATCTGGGACCCTCAGGTCAGGGAAGGGTTGGAGGAAGGTGAAGAGACCCATCCCCCTCAGAGGTCACTGGCTGGGGGACAGGGCCTGGCCATTCAAGTGACAGGTATCCATCTGCAAAGCTGGAATCTCCTTTAGAGTGAGCTCCTAAGAAAAACACCACTCAGCCACCGGGTGCGGTGGCTCACGCCTGTAATCCCAGCACTTTGGGAAGCCGAGGCGGGCGGATCACGAGGTCAGGAGATCGAGACCTTCCTAGCTAACATGGTGAAACCCTGTCTCTACTAAAAATACAAAATATTAGCCAGGCATGGTGGTGGGCACCTGTAGTCTCAGCTACTCGGGAAGTTGAGGCAGGAGAATCACTTGACCCCGGGAGGCGGAACTTGCAGTGAGCCAAGATCTCACCACTGCACTCCAGCCTGGGCGACACGGGGAGACTCTGTCTCAAAAAAAAAAGAAAAAAAAAGGAAAAAAAGAAAAGCCAAGGAGAGCTGTTGTATTTTGCTGCCTGGGGCACATTCTGGAGGTGAAAACCGGTTTTTCTGAAGACTTGTCAGGGCCAGGCTTTGTTCAGGTCTGCCGATTTAGCCAGACTGGCTCCTTAAAGGAGACCCCTTTTCTTGAGGGAGGGGCCAATTATAAAAAAGACTTGTGAATGGCATTCCCTTCATAACTGGTTTGGACTTCCTTTGGACTTAGGAACTTTCTCTTGTTCCATACCTTCTCCTTCCTTAAAGGAGAAACATGGAGACACACACACACACACACACACACACACACGTAAAATCACACTGAATTGTAAGGAGAATGAAATCAGTGCTAAATCTATAAAAGCAAATCATAGACCCTGACAGCTGAGAGGTATTATTTGTTTTTTGCCTCCCAGATTTCTACTAAGCCTGGTGTTTTAAGCATATGTCTTGGGGAGAAGAGACCCATAGAAAGGCAATTACAATTGGTGAATGATTAATGTTGGATCTGACATTTTTATGTGTCAAATATGTTTAACTGCATTAACCTTTGCAGAATTTACACCCATACTATGAGATGTATCTTGTATAGCATCGGAAATATCTGCAATTTGCCTTCACTTAAATCTTATTTACATTTATTTTATTACAGTATAAATGGGTTTAAAAAATCTTTAATACAGTTTTTTTTACCCCATTCTGCAGGTTCTGCTCCCTCTGTGGGGAGTCTAAGGGCAGCAGGGTTCCTTGTTGATTGCAAATAGTGTCCCAGTCACCTGCCTGGGGACCCCCAAGAGAGAGGAAGCCAGTGTCAATTCTTCAAGCTCATGTCTCAGTTTTAGCCTAAAGAGGAGGTGGCTTAGAAGGCCGGGAGTTGGCATCCGACGGTATGTGGCATCCGAAGGTATAAAACATTGAGGCAGAGAGGCTTTTCAGTAGACAAGCAACTTTTAATTTTTACAAGTTATAGAAAATGCAAATTTTCATAGCATCAATGTTAGAAAAGAAAGATTAAGTGGTTCCCATCTGTGGTGCTTTTTCCAATCTGCCCATCACCAGTCCCTCTGAAGAAGCACGTGCACTCCAGATGTCTCCTTCATTGATCACATTTCTCTCTGGCTGTCTCTGTTCCTAAATCAGAGTTACTCTTGCTGCTGCTGCTGCTGCTGCTGCTGCTTTGACTGCCGAGGACTCATCGTCGTCAGCTCCATGCCTCCTGAACTTCACTCCACTGAAATCTGGTTGGGTATGAGACAGACTCCGGTGGAATGAAGGACAAGAGAAGCACATGGATTGCCTGAGGATCTTTTTCTCAGAGGGAGGAGACACATGTCAACCCCAGCCTGTGGACACTGCATTACCTGGCCAAAGGCCTTTGGCATCCTGGAATCACACACTTGGGAGATGTCGAGGACCTGAATACTCCTACCCCTCCCCAAGGATCACATTCTCCAAGGAGGCTGCAGAGAGCTAGTTCATCAACACGTCCTTGCACCTGCTGCACAGATAGACAGTGCTGAGTTGGGGAGATGAGTCTGTGGGGCCAGGGACTCTTGCTGTTTCTAATTTTCAAAGCAGCCACCCAGATAAGTCCATGTGGAACCTCCTCTGTGTTTACCTAGTCGGGATGCTGGTCACCCTCTCCCTTTGCCTAGGTCCCACTGTGTGTGCCATAACTGAGCTCGGTGTGGTTGGTCCTTTCTAGAGGAAACAGAGAAAAGGCAGGTGTTCTGCAATTGCTTTAGAAAAATTCAGCTACTCTGAGCTTGCTTACCAAGGCCGTGGAATACAGGGACACGGGCATTCCTCTCCACAAGGTACTGTCCAAAGAGCACGAAGAGTACTTTGCAGCCCCATTTGCCAGTGTGAAATCCAGAAGAGGTAGGTGAGGAACTCAGGAAAAACCACAACTCCCAGCTGGAGCTAGGCCCATTCATGGGGGTGGGTGGACAGAGGAGGGTAAGACTCCTTGTTCTCAATCCTACAGACTTATCTAGGAAGGACAGCCTGCAATGGTCCCACATCCTCCCCCAGATGTGCCTGGAAAATGATTCAACTATTTCTTTGTTGGGCATGAGGATGGAGGATTTAGGGAGGAAGAAAGAAAGCTAACCTACCTTTCATAGACTGAGTCAAATAGGAAGGATGCAAAGTATCTAAGAGCTCTCTGTCCTCTCTTAAAGGAAATGCCCATCAACCCATTGCGTGCAGTTACTGCCCTGGCCTCTTCCTTGTTGTGTTCAGACATGCCCATAGCTCAGTGCAAGTCCCATAAAAGGCTGTTCTCAGCACCAACATGCAGTCTGGATGTGTTGGGGCAGATGTACCTTGTTGTTTGAAATACTTTCTTCCTGGGGCTTGTTCTGACCCGAATCAGGGAGGCAGTATCTCGTATGTGGCTCCTCCCCGTGTATCTAGCCTTCTGGGCATTGGGTCTCTCTGAAAAAGGCCCTTAAGCAAGGGCTTGAGGTTTCTAGCTAGTGCTGAGAAGGAGTCACACTCTCCGTGGTCTGAATGTAAAGACTCTTTGCCAGGGTGAACACGGGACTTGCTGGGAGGCAGAGATCTGGGTACTGAGGGGAAGAAGACTGGTTCATCTTCTCCCACTCTGCCTTCTTGATAAACACTCACAGTTCTCAATAATGAGAGGAAAATGCACCCTGCTTGTGAATTATCTGGACTACATACTCCTCCTGCACTGCCTTTGACCCATTCCCAGTCAAAGGGAAGAAAGAGGCCAGTCTGTTGGCTGTGATAAATAAATGATGACCCAGGATGGTGGGAGGAAATGATGCCGGGAAGGCAAGATTCTTTGCCTTCTCTTTACATTTCTGCCTAACTCCAAGAGCAAAAGGGTCAGTCAATTCTTTTCCCTCCAGAATCTCGGCACCCCGCTCTTCCCTTCCCAACACATACAGTCCACTAGATTATTCAAGTCCTCACTCTGGAGTGTGCAGAGAGCCTCACCCTCATGTGGGGTCCGTACCTCCAAGATGGGTACTTGAGAGATGACAATGTCTGCAAAAAGCAAATGGGAGGTGGCATTAATGTCAGAGAGCCCCGAAAAAGTGAGTTATTCCCTTATCACTCTCCACTCTCCAGCTGTAGACCTGTAGCTGCTACAGGCAGAGACAAAAATCCTTGAGTCAGAACCTGTATCAGGAGACTTGACCTGCTCTGGACTCCGGGTTCAAGATTCTTCTGGCCACTATGCCTTCGCCAACTAAATCCCCCAGTGGCCTTCACCGTGGCTACGTGGGTCTATAGCCAAGCACATGCATGATCAGAGAACAAACCACATATGGGTTTGCCATAGGGTAAGTTCATCCAGTGACCACTCTCTTCCCCCCAGCTGCCCTCAGGATTACGTCCCAAGTGTCTTCATAACATTAAAACCAACTTGAACATGAGACTCAAAGAATGAAACTAGGTCCTAAATTTTCCAGTACAGCTGCACCCTGCACCCCAGGACTGAAAAACCAGCCAAATCTCTGTTCTTCTAGTTGAGTAAATCTCCACAAAACCAGACAGAGCTACAATCTTGGTGCTTAAACTGCTCAGCACCCACCTTATCACACCAGTTCCCATTATCAGCAGGATTTACTGCCTGGGATCCCTGGAAATCCTTGAGAAAACACAAAAGTGGCTGAGGATTGGTTTAAAATGCAGCAGGTTCAGCTATTTTAGCCTTGGAGGAAGTTGATAATTGACTTGCAGTGAATATGGCATTTTCCAGTCTCCTCTTCCCGCCCAATGAGCCCCCTGATCTAGCCACTCAGCTTTGTTTTTCCAAAGCTCCCCAAATCTACAGATTTCAGACTCACCTTTAAGTACGAGTACCTGTGCCTTGAGATATCAGGACCCAGCTTTGAGTTTGCTTCAAAATAAGAATTTTTTTTTGTCGTAAGATAATGCAGAACAAAGAGATGGCTAGAGCCATGCAGATGAGAAGAAGAAAAGAAATTTCAAGTCTTGGATGTTTCTTTTGCCCTTAAGGCTTGAGGACAGGGAACAAAAAATGAGAAACACTTACCCCATATAAAGCACCCAGTTGAGCAGGCCTGTGCAGAACAGAAATGGCTCCTGAGGAAAGGTGGGGGCCGGTACTGAATAGTTGATTTCTCTCTTTAATGAAAAAGAACATGAGGCTGGATGCAGTGGCTCATGCCTGTAATCCCAACACTTTGGGAGGCCGAGGCAGGTGGATTGCTTAAGCTCAGGAATTCAAGAACAGTCTGGGCAACATGGTGAAACCCCGCCTCTACAAAAAAATACAAAAAATTAGTCAGGCGTGGTGGTGTGCGCCTGTAGTCCCAGCTACTTGAGGGGCTGAGG